TCTTTCCCTCCTCTTTGCTGTATTTCCCTGCAGCACAGCTCCCTGCCTACACTGTGACCTTCCCAGCAAAGTACAGCTTCCTAAGTCAACCCGTTTTACTTTTCTCCTCAGAGATGATACACGGTGTAATTGCCACAGTTAAGATATCACAGCTCTTTCAAGCAAGTGTAACGCCAACAGACCCTGATCATCGGTGGGCAGGATCAAACCTGGGACCTCAGGAGCTTAGTGCATGAGCCTCTACTTCATGAGCTAACAGGCTAAGGCTGAAGAGCAGACTCATTTATCTCTCTCGCTAAGTGGTCTCGGTACCACTAGATGGGACAGAACACCATACCCAGAAGGTGTGTGGGTTACACAAGCACATTTACTCTTAAGATACAAGCATTACAGAGAAAACATATTAAAAACAATAAAAGAACCTATACTTGTGCTAATAAGCTTACCAGAGATCAACTCCTGTCTCCAACAAGAGCTCTGACTGATTAACAGTCCTTCAAATCCCACCCAGGGGTTTTCCATTGGTTACCAGTTCATCACGCCTTTTGCTTAGAACAAGAATCCTCATGAGTAAGGGCCCGTCTACATTTAAAACACTACAGCAGCACAGCTGTGCCACTGTAGCACTTCAGCGTTGTTACTACTTACGTTGATGGAACGGGTTCTCCCATCACCATAGGTCAGTGGTGTGCAAATTTTTCAGTTGCGCCCTCCCTTACCATTAATAGAATCTGTCTGTGCCCCTCCCCCCCCCGCCATTTTGCACAATCAAGGCTTCCTCAGCAGAGGAGCTTGGGCTGAAGGCGGAGCTGGGGGGTGGACTGGGGATGGGGGAGTAGCTGGTGCTAAAGGTGGAGCTGGTCTTGGGGCGGAGAGGGAATAAGGGCAGAGCTGGTCTGAGGCCAGAGCCGGGGGTGGAGCGGAGCTGCACCTGGAAGTGGAGCAGGACTGGGAGCAGATCTGGCCTGGAAGCAGAGCTGGGCCTGGACATAGAGCAGGGCTGGGAGCAGAATGGGGTTGGGGGTGGAGCTGGTCTGGGGTGGAGTGGGACTGGAAGTATGGCGCTCCCTCCCCAGCCCTGGTGGGGGCTGGTCTGGGCCCTGCTGCAGCCCCTCCCCAAATGTTCCTCCATGCCCCCCGGGGGGTGTCCCACAGTTTGGGGACCACTGCTTTAGAACATCTGGAGCTGAGCTCCGCACACTCCCCCTTACCCACACTCTTCCTTACTCTTATTACCCCAAAACCTTTTGGTGTAAGCTTGTAGGAAATGATAGTTCAAAAGATACATGGGGTTGGCTGGCACTTATTTGTATATTAATAATTGTTATTCAAAACATTGTAAATATAGGTTTATAAAAATTGTATATATTTTATTGTATCCCTTTCCCCTACCCTTTCTGTAATACTTACCTTGTTCTTTGGGACATGGATTATATCTTCATCTGTGTTTGCAGAGTCCCTAGCACAATGAAGCTTCTGGGTGCTACTTCAATATTTTATAATAAATAATAATAATGTCAGTTACTGAGTTGATGAAATTTTCAGCACTCACATCTTTGCTAGACAACTATTTACTCCAGTAAATTGCTTATTAGCTAGACACTTTTGGCATGAGTGGCAGTCTCTTTTCCAGTGGCTCGGCACTAGAATAGTAGGGAATGTTGCAAGTCAGCACTGAAGTGCATTAGCAATGATCAGTAAGGAAGCTTGCACGCTGCCAGCCTGCACTATTTCTGACTCAAGTCAGTTATTAGTCTTTCATTTTCATGAACAGTCAATATATATATTGTGCCTAAAACATTCTTCAGAGTCCATTTGCTGAGTCTGTAGTAATTTTATACCCTACATGACTGAGTCTGTTTGTTTCAAATATTGAATTTTAGCAGGGTTTTTTAAATAAGTAGAAGTCCTATAGTTTTGTTTAATGGTATAATGCAGATAGAGTGCATACAAAGTTTTCAGGTAGCTCTTTAATTAAAGAAAAAAGAAGCTGACAGCACTGTTTTAAAAACAGAACACAAAAGATTACATGGTCTTTGCAAATAATTACATATATCTAAAATAATTGGTCAAATTTAGGGCCTAACACAGTGACAGTTCTACCTCTTCAGCTATTTTCTATATGTAAGCAGAAAAAAGTAAAATGTTCATGATCTTGACATTTGCTAAGCTCTAAACCCAATATGATCTTTTTTGGGGGGGGAAAAAAAAGTCCTGTAAGACAATAGTTTGAAGATAAAGGGATACATGTTTTTTCAATTAGATTTTTATACCATGATTACTGTGATGATTCCTGAGTAGATTCCAGTTGACTTTCAGATCCCAAGTGAGTTTGCAGGGGTAGAAGTTAGTAGAGCCAACTTTTTACTTGTAAATTGAGCACATTTGATGCAGAAATCATCACAATAAACACAGAACCCCATGAAGCCACTTGTATAGTCATTTTCAGAATAGAATTGCACTATTCTAAAGGTTTAAATGAAAACTGGAATGTTATTTTAATCCTTATACTGCTTCTGAACAGTGCTTGGGTCTCAGCTGACATCTTATTAGAATGTCTAATCAAATTAATTGTATCCATCAGTAAGAGTAATATAAATGTTTATCTTATTTATGGTTTTCTAATGCATGCATCACTATGGTAGCTAGGCACTACTTTGTCCTTATTTTTGTTCCTGTGTGTTAAAAGTGTCACCAGGCTGACAATGGAAGTAAGGTGCTATCATCTTCCATGTCAATTAAACCCTGAAATTCGTGAAGTGGGTGAGTGTGTGGTTATATACTGGCTACTGTGTTTATCAACACCTGCATCCAGCCAATGCCGAAATTTCACTGAGTTCTCTTTAACCATTGTGAGAAAAATATCCAGTTTGGAAGAAAAATGGAATTCAATGTCCTTTTTTTTTTTTAAATGACTCCACCTAGAAGGAACATAAGCCCAGAGGACTATTATTATGTAGCTTCCCCTATTCAAATATATTTGCAGGCAGAGCTCAAAGTGAGTAGAAATAGGCCAGAGCACTGTTCTGGCATTTCTCAAATAGCCCCAGTGCCTTCTGAATAATTTAAGCTTTCATTTAAAACAATTAATTTTCTAGCAGGTTCTTCCTGAGTCTACAAACAGCCTGAAATATTAGAAAAAATATTAGGAATAATTAAAAAGGGGATAGAGAATAAGACAGAGAATATATTATTGCCCTTATATAAATGGATGGTATGCCCACATCTTGAATACTGCATACAGATGTGGTCTCCTCATCTCAAAAAAGATATACTGGCACTAGAAAAGGTTCAGAGAAGGGCAACTAAAATGATTAGGGGTTTGGAGAGGGTCCCATATGAGGAGAGATTAAAGAGGCTAGGACTTTTCAGCTTGGAAAAGAGGAGACTAAGGGGGGATATGATAGAGGTATATAAAATTATGAGTGATGTGGAGAAAGTAGATAAGGAAAAGTTATTTACTTATTCCCATAATACAAGAACTAGGGGTCACCAAATGAAAGTAATAGGCAGCAGGTTTAAAACAAATAAAAGGAAGTTTTTCTTCACACAGCGCACAGTCAACTTGAGGAACTCTTTACTTGAGTAGGTTGTGAAGGCTAGGACTAAAACAGCATTTAAAAGAGAACTGGATAAATTCATGGAGGTTAAGTCCATTAATGGCTATTAGCCAGGATGGGTAAGGAATGGTGTCCCTCCCTAGCCTCTGTTTGTCAGCGGGTGGAGATGGATGGCAGGAGAGAGATCACTTGATCATTACCTGTTAGGTTCACTCCCTCTGGGGCACCTGGCTTTGGCCACTGTCGGTAGACAGGATACTGGGCTAGATGGCCCTTTGGTCTGACCCAATACGGCCGTTCTTATGTTATGTTCTTATGTAGAACAGATTCTATTAACCACAATAGGATGTTACATCTGGAGGCTAATGATGACAATTTGACTGCCACCATTCTTAATTGTTTCTCTGATCATTTTAGCAGAAACATCCAGCTGATGTGTTGGATATTGAGGAATTTAGAAAGGGAAAAGACAACAGGCCTTTTTATCCATTCTGTGGACTCACTGAAGGACTCTTCCCTACAGTACATTTTTAATGCTTTATTGGTTTAAAGTGCTCAGAGTGTGGGACTTCCATCACTTCCCTGTGGAGGTTACACCCCAGTCTAATAATTATCTCCATTAGCACGTTTTCCTCCATTTTCCAGTTTAAATGTGCCTTCTAAAAATTTCCTCCCATTACTCCTGACAATAGCCCAGGGATCGAAATGAGCCAGCGGGGAAGGGGGCGGGGGGGGGGGAACTAACGGTCACCAGAGAAGTGAGGGAAGGAGGCAAAGGAGCAGCCACCAGAGAAGGAAGTAAAGTGGGAGCTGGCAGGGTTAGGGGGAAATGGGCAGAGGAGGCAACAGCTACCAAAGGGAAGGGAACACAGAACCAGAAGCCAAAAGGAAAGTGAAAGGGAATAAGCAATCACCAAAGTAGGAGGAAAGTGGGAAGCAGCCACTAGGGGAAGGGAAAGGTGGTGAGGGGAAAAGTGGTGAGAAGCAGGGGTGGGGATGGGGATGGGGATGGGACAGCCACCAAAGGAAAGCAGAGGGGAGCAGAGGTGCAGCCTTTGAGGGAAGGGATAAAAGACACAGCAGCCATCAGGGAGAGGATATGGTGAGTCAGCATGAACAGAGTTCCACAGACCCTGCACTTTGACCCTGGGTACTAAGTTACAACCCTCCTCTCTCTCTGTGGCAAGCAGTTGAGCTCTATGCAGATCACAAATCACTGCTCTCATCAGCCATCTTCAAAATAAACACCATAAAAAAATTAATACCTGACTCTTCTATAGCACTTTTCATCAGTAGATTTCAAAGTGTTTTACTAAGGAAGTTGGTATCATTACCCTTATTTCACAGATGAGGAAAATGCTCACTGACTATAAACTGGTAACTACGCATAATTGTGCTATAATAACTGGAACACAGAAGTTAATCAACATAGCATCTTACCCATAGGCCATTGCACACAATTATAATACCAGGATGCTTTGAACAGGGACTCTGGATTCATTTTCTGTCTCGAGAGAGAGCGATCAGGAGCTAGAGTAGATGCCCGAGGATTTCTGTAATTTTGAGGACACGTGGCATAAAGGGAGGGACCCTCAAAAAGTGCTGCCTCCTAAGCCTGGCTAGTCCGCTGCAGAAATGAGGTTAAGAGGCCACGCCACATAACTACTTTAGCAGCCCGCGAACAGATGAGCGAGTATGGTAACAGAGAGAACAGGAGCAGGGAGGTTGTCTTGAAATCTGTCAAAAAAGGGACCGGCCACACGCCTCCCCACCCCCACCCCGTTCTCAACCTGCCCTCTGCCCAGCTGGGCAAACGGCTGGGGGAGCAGGTGACGACAGCGCGGTCACTGTGCCCGTCCACCTTTGTCCCGCAGCGCAGCGCAGCGCAGAGTGGGGCGCGGGGCGCGTGCTAGGCATCTGCAGGAGCTGGGCAATGCCCAGGCGGCTCCTCCCCGGGGAAGAGAAAGAGAAACAGAGCCCGGCCTCGCTCCGGCTCTCTGGCTGTGCCTCTCCTCTCTCAGCCCGTGCTTAGCATTACTTCCCCCCCGCCGCCCGCGCTCCCCCCGCCCTAGTTGCAGGGTTATTTCAGGACACAGCCCGCCTCTCTCGCTCGGAAGCGCTGCTGAAGCCTGCCCGGCGTCTCCCGCGCTCAGACTGGCGTTTGTCAGGTGAGAGCTCCCCCTCCGCGCTTCCTTAGGGGCTGCCCTTTCTCCGCAAGTCAGTCGCCCCAGAGACCAGGGGGAGGCTGCGGGGGACGGTGTGCAAAGAAGTCTTTGCAAGCCAGCAATGAGCTGGGGGCCGAGGTGGACGGAGCTGCCGGTCTCCACAAGTGGTTCAGAAGCCCCTTGGGAAGGGGGGGGCGGGATGCTGCCGAGCGCTGCTCCGGGGGGTGGGTAGGGCCCTTCCAGGGCTGCCTTGTTTTCTGCTCTGGGATCGGGGGCGGCGGCGGGGGGGGGGTGACTCTGCCCCTGCCCAGCTGCTGCGCTAGACTCCTGCAGCTGGGGGCTTTAAGTGCAGGCTCCCCCTGTCTCTCCCAGGATTCAAAGCCGGGAGGCAGAGAAAGTGCTGTGTGCTGGGGCTCCCGAGATCTGGGAGTGCTGGGCAGGTCAGGTCTTGTACACGCCTTGAAAGCGGGGGTCGCAGGTTCAGCAGACTGCGAGTCCTATTTATTTCACTACCGTTTACACTAGCTGTAGCTGCTGCTGCTGGCCTGGGGGATTCCTGCCCTGCCCTCCTCAGAACTTTGCAGCAGACACAGCAAAGGTGTTCCCGCCCCAGCTGAACGTGAACTGTTGTGTTGAGACCGGCTGTGATCTTGGCACCCAGCCCTCACATTCAGGAGCTGCTTCAGTTTGTCCTTGCATGAAACGTTAGGCCCTACTCAGTTTGTACTGCAGTGTCAAATATGGGGTGGAGGACGGCTTCGGATACCTGCATGTTGGATGGAGGAGAGGGGAAAGATATGGTGGAAGGTAGGGCTACATGTGGCACTACAGGTGCTCCCTGACTTAGTTTGCAGGGTTTGGCTGTCTGGGGAAGGGTGCCCTCCTAAGCTTGGCATCAGTCTCTAAACAATCAGTAACAATTCAGGCTGTTTGTGCCTTCAGACAAAGAGCAAGGAGGGAAATACCCTTCATATGCAAATACTTAATTGCAGCCTTTAGGGCAAGGCTCTTGCCTGTGCCTGAATTACTCCTCCTCTCTCCCAGACTCACCCAGGTGTACTATTGAGCTAACGCAGGCAAGCCTTCTTAATTGGCCTGCTGGTTCTTGATTGGTCACTCAGTATTTCCTCCTGGCTCTTCTAGGCCTCTGGAGGACTGTCTTGTTGGTTGCCCAGTCTAAGTGGATTTTCCTTGGACAGGGAGTGTCAGGGTACTGATGCCACCAGCAGGGAACAGAGAAAGCTTGACCAATCCTTTTACACACCTGTCCCCACAGAACAGGCCCAGAGGCCTGGTCTCTCCACTCCGCAACAAGGCCACTGTCCCAGGAAAATAAGTTTGTATTCTAGTGCTGTGAACCCGGCCGGTGTCGTGCATGAAAAGCATAGGGTTGCAATGCCAAATACCACTGAGTAATGTGAAAGTTATTGTCCTTCATCAATTGCAACCATTTAAGGGGCACACGGTCTGTTACGAGGCAGAAGGGAGCCCTTAAAAGGTAAAAAGCCCATTTGATGGCCAGACATTTTCTCAGTGGTGGACTACCTGGTCTCTTGATGCTGCCGCTTCCAGCTTAGGTATAGTATTGGATATTCCATCCCCTTGACGTTTTGTGACAGTACTGCTCCCAGTCCAACTGTGGAAGCATCATTTTGTAATATAAACATGAATGAGAAGTCCAGACAACATAGGTCAGGCTGTTGATCGAGGCTATCCTATATCTAGGTAAATGTCTTGCTACACTCAATAGGCCACCAGACTGTTCAGGGTGTGCTGGCCTTCGTGAAATCTGTCAATGGTGCTGAAAGTGTCACAAAATGGGGCATGAACCTTTGATAATAGCTGGCTAGACCCAGGAAAGCCTGTTTCTTAGTGATAGGAACTGGGGTCATCCTCCGGGCCTCTGTCTTAAATTGCAGGGGTTGAATCCAGCTGTCCTCTATGAAATACCCAAGATAGCAGGTTTCCTGCATCCCAAATTTACATACTTTTGGATTAGTGGTGAGTTCCGCCTCCTGCAGTGATTGTAACGCAGAGGCCACCTGCTTCAGGAAAAGAACTTGAACATACATTCTGCTATTGAAAAACTGCAGCAAACTAAAAATATTCTGGAGGAATTCAGAAGTGATGAAGGGTTCGAAAGAACACTGGTAGAGTCTCTCGAGCTTGCTGAAGAAATAGACTTTCCGACAGAATTTGAACCAGAGCCAGTTTGCATTTGGCAAAAGAAACAGCAGTTTGAAGGATGAGACACACCCATTCAGAACCCAAAACAAAGGTTCAAAGTGAATTTCTACTTCACAGTCCTTGATACTGATATTCACTTGGTTGATGAAAGATTTCAACAGATGCAGCAGCTAGAGTCAGTATTTGGCTTTCTATATGATATCCACAGCTTGCAAAAGAAAACAGCAAAACAGATAAGAGAATTTTGTATAAAACTGGAGTCGGAATTGACTCGTGAAAATTCAAAAGACATTGATGCTACAGATTTGTGTAGTGAGTGTCAGGCTTCAAGACGACTTAAGAAACATTCCACTCCTGAAGAAGTACTGAAGTTTGTTTGTGAAAATAAACTCAGACAGTTTTCCAAACATTTTTATAGCTCTACACATTCTTTTAACTTTGCCAGTTTCTGTAGCTAGTGGGGAACGTAGCTTCTCATAGTTAAAATTGATAAAAACATATCTGCGTTCAACAATGGTGTAAGAGAGACTTGCTGGACTTGCCACAATGTCAATAGAGCATGAAATAGCTGGAAAACTGGATCTAAAAGAACTAGTGACTGAATTTTTAAAACTTAAAGCAAGAAAAGTCATGTTTTAAAAGCACAGAGTGTTTGTTTTTTATTCGGAGTGTTTTGTAAATACAGGTTAAAGTTCATTGAAGAGTTTTCTTATTTCTTTCTATATTGGATGTGGTGGTAATGGCAGTCAAAGCAGGATAGTGTAATGGATGATTTTGGACTTGTAATAATAAATTATAATTAACATTTTAATGCATTTTTATTTGAAATCATACTGAAATATCATCTAGCTGTCGTGTACAAATCTATTCTGAAAATTTTGTGTCTCTATTTTATCTGATCTCAGAAACATTGGTTAGACGGACGGACAAACCGAATAATTAAGCCTCTGGTTTAAAAAAAAAAAAAAAAAAAAAAAGCTTAAAAAACATTAAAAGGAAAAAAGGGGCAAAATGTTTGCCAGTTTACCAAACTCCTCAGCCTAGATCTGCCCTTGGGGTTTGGGGGTGGGGGTGCCGATTGCATGGTTCGCCTAGGGCACCAGTTGCTTGCAGCTTGTCTAGGACCGCCCCTGCTCCTCAGGAGATTGAGGTCAGGCTTCACCAACCTGGGCTATCCACCCTGGCTGGACCTAACCTGCTGTCATAAAGTCTTCAATGTACTGGGGTTGTATTTACATACCCAGGTTGACAGGTTTGAATGACGGTCGGCAAAATATCTGGGTACTGTTTGAGTACCACCAACCCCACAGTCTCAGCTGGAGAGTAGGATGCTGGCCAGAGCCAGATGATGGCCCATTCTTTTAGTCCTGGAGCCACAGCCGGGGTCATACCTCTGGTGAGAAATTGTCCAGAATCAGTGCTAGTAGATCGCAGCTGATACCCCTAGTTGGTCGAGGATGGCGGCTTCCAGGGTATCCTAGTCCTTTGCAACTTCATCATCTAAGGCAGGGGTGGGCAAACTTTTTGGCCTGAGGGCCACATCGGGGTGCAAAACTGTATGGAGGGCCGGGTAGGGAAGGCTGTGCCCCCAAACAGCCTTCCCCCCGCCCCCTCCCACTTCCCGCCCTCCTCAGAACCCCCAACCCATCCAACCCCCCTGCTCCTTGTCCCCTAACCGCCCCCTCCCAGGACCCCCCTGCCCCTAACCGCCCCTGGAACCCCACCCCTGACTGCTCTGACCCCTATCCACACTCCCGCCCCTTGACAGGCCCCCTGGGACCCCATCCCCATCCAATCCCCCCTGTTCCCCTGTCTCCCCGAACCTCTGCCCCATCCAACCGCTCCCTGCTCCCTGTCCCCTAACTGCTCCCCAGGACCCACTGCCCTATATCCAACCCCCCGGCCCTGACCCCCTTACCATGCTGCTCAGAGCAGCATGTCTGGAGCCGCGTCTCCTGGCCGGAGCCAAACATGCTATTGCACTGCCCTGTATAAGCGCGCAGCCCCACTGCCCAGAGCGCTGCCTGCACGACGGTGTGGCTGCAGGGGAGGGGGGTTAACCTTCCCGGCCAGGAGCTCAGGGGCCGGGCAGGATGGTCCCGTGGGCCTTAGTTTGCCCACCTCTGATCTAAGGCCTGGTACGCCACCGGGTTTTCCCTACGTAACAAGATACACCTCAGGGTCATCAGCAGGCCCAGTTTGGAAAAGGCGATAGCTGGTGCCAACAGAGTCACTTCAGAGTGGGGGGTGGCCAGTGATTTGCTCCAGCATTGCTTCCTGAAACTGCTGCTGCCAGAGCTCGAGGAACATATTTTGGTGCTGTTGGTTGGCTCGCTGAGCCTCCTGCTGCCCTTCCAGAAAAGCTGCTGGGCTGCTGCTGCTGAGCTAGGAGTCATATGGTCTCCTCCATGGTTCCTCTTTATGGAAAAAGGGGGGA